TTYTAACAAAGATGAAARAATTTAAAATGTAAAGCAAAATAACAGAGTGAGGTTCTTAGAGGGTAAACTATATTGTGTAATTAGCAAAGAAAATTACTAATATGCTGCTTGTTTAACAGGCTTTTGTTCACTTTGATGGCATCATTTTCAACATGCTGCATTAACTGAAGGAATTTTCGGGGCTGTGTTTACCTGTTAAGGTGAAAACAGAAAAAAAAACCAACCAAGATTAATCTATGCAACCAAAACATTTTAAAAGAGATACCTTATAGTAAATAGTATTCAAGATTAGGACTTCAAAGAATGGAGAGATCAGGCATACATGATTGTGAGGCTTTGACAGATAATTTTACTTTCAAAATTACTGACATGTGAGGTTGACATTAAAGGTAAATCTAAATTTAGGGCTGGAGGCAAACTTCAGCATCTAATTAATTTTTCACCAAACTGCATGTTGGATCTTTTATAAGGAAGCTTTTGTGTGGATTTAATTTAAAACTTTCTTGATTTGTATATTTTTTTGCTTTAGGGATTTTTTTAAAAAATAGAAATAAAATAGAAGCTCACTCATTTTGTGTCTTGTGATGACTTAAACTTAAATTTTTGTTTCTCATTTATTGCTGTGTCCTGGACTTGACCGTGGCCTGTACCTCAAGCAGGGCCCCATGAGCTGCACCTTCTGTGCTGTCCTTGTCCTTGTGTCTCCTGAAAGGCAAAATGCACCATGTTTTGTGAAATACAGCTTAAAAAGATCATAGTTTATATGGAAAATAATGTGATGCGTACATTACTAGAGCTTTCCTGAAACATTTCAATAGCATTTCCTAATGGAAAACTTCAGGTTTTTSAGATATAAGATTTTTATTGCAATTTCCATCAATAAAATTCCAATCCTTACTGCATGCAGATTTTCATTATACGCGAAAGCAGTGCTAACAAAGATTTATTTCCAAGGAGAAAAGGCAAAAGCATCATGTGTGCAATCCAGATACAAGTGTTTGCCCCCACAGCATTGGCAGTATGGTAATAAGGAGTTAAGTGTGGCATGGAGACTCATGGTGGCCCCACAAGCACAAGAACATGAAGGTTTTGAACAGCCATATTATCTGGGCGTTTATTTAGGGCTCTCTGAACACACYTGAAAAACCAGTTTAACAGCAATGCTTGCTGGTTGAGCACAGAGTCAGGCAACTAAGTCAGGGTAGGCATTGGGAAATCCTGCCAGGAAAGAAATATTTTTGGCTGGTGATACTTCAGCAAGGCATTAGGGATGTGAGGTGTCCTTCAGAGTCCCATCACTGCAGGTGGTGTTCCTTCTGTTAATGATTGAGCCAAAGAAAGCTGTACTTCCATCTCAGAAAGGTTGTAACTTGTTAACTTGTTTTTGTTTGGGTTGTCTCGGGATATGCTGAATGAGAGAGAAACTTGTCTTCTTTGGCTTGGTTTGTGCAGTGTCCAGTGCCAGGAGTTACATACGCACAAGTGAGGTTCATTAAGAGCGGTCACAATATGAGCAAAATTATGTCTTGTCCACTAAAATTACATTTTAGTAAAATACATAGATACAAAATATTTAATGCATCTATTGGTTGGATTGTACTGGTTACAAGAGTCACTAACAGGGATCGTGCCTCTGATAATGGGCAGTTTTAGAAAGAATCAAAGTGATTTGTTTGATTGGTCATAGGTTTGAAATGTAGGACTGGTTCTTTTACCATCTGTATTTGGGGTAATTACTGGTTTTACSTAAATGTTGGTGATACTGTGTGTTTGTCATCATTCATAATTTTTATATTCTACTAAGTACATGGAAGCCCTTTATTTTCTATTTCTTGCTGTGAAAATGTTTCAAAATTTGCAGCTTCACAGATGCAGACTCTGTCTGTTATTTTTAATTGTGCATGTTTATGATTTTGGTGTTTTCAAGATTCTGGAGCTTAAGCCCCTCAGCTGTCACTGTTCTCTGCTGCTGATGGAAACAGCAGCAGCAAACAAACTGCTGGCAAAAGGAATTGCAGCACTAAGATAAGGTTGTTTCTAATGAAAATGCTTCTCAGTTGAGAATCGCATGAGGAAAAAACATATTCAAGGAATCGGTCAATTGTGGCTTTTTTCTAATGTACTATATTTACAACCTCTGACAATTTGAGCTGAGAGCAGCAAAAATCTGCCCTAATTGCTAGGACTGCARAAAAATACTCGCATTTTTTTTCTCTCTGAATAAATGGTTGTTTCTTTGGGATGAAATGCATATCTGCATTATGAAAGAAAACAATAACAGTGCTGTGTCTGTTCTCATTAAGTGGTTGGAGAAGAATGAACAAGTCCAGATTTTTCTTTGCGTCTRCCTAGATTTCAGATAACACACTTGATCATGTTCCCTGATGCTTCTGATTCTAAAGGGAATAYTGTACATTTTGATGATACTTTTATAACCACTTTTCACTTTCAAGAATGTCTGTAAGATTTTGAATACACTCSTGTGTGTCACAATGCCAAGAGTAAGCCTTTGTAATTCTGGAGTATTAAGTGTAGAAAGTAACTCAGGATTTCATATTGTGTCTGGAATTTRTATCAGCACCAAAGTGCTTATGATTTGAAAGAAATATGTGTAATTCCCATGAGACTGTGTGTAAATATATATCTATTTAAAGCAATGTTTCTTTTGCAACATTACTGATTTAACTTGTAAAATACTGTTATATTTTCRTTTTAGGTCTGAGAGTAACAGTGTTACTAACATCATCCCTCATGGTATTGGGAGCTGGCCTGAGATGTGTTCCGGTTTCAGACATAGAAATTAGAAAAAAGTAAGTGAATCAGTTMTTTTTAATATACATATTTTATTCTTTCTGCTAATGTAATTTTTGCTGCTGCTACAAAGAAATGTTAGTACAAATTTTCTGTATGAAATTGATATGCCAAATGTTTCTTATRTGGCTATGGGTTTATAGGCTTCTTTGCTTCTTAAATGGATTTTTCTAGTCCTTCTCCCTAGTATGTGAAGATCAGAAAGCCCTTTACAAGCCCAAGTTAATTAAGCCTCACCCCATCCTGCATAAGTAATAATAATATGCTTTGCAAATAAGGAACCAGAGATTTAGAGAGGTTCAGAAACTGGCCCAAGATCATACAGGGAGCCATGCCTCAAAACCCCCAAAAAAGTAATTTGTATGCAAATGTCAAATAATTAATTCATTTTCTTRTATTGGATGTATGGGATCATGTCGTGAGACAGATGAATTTATGCAAAATTGCATTTTTCATGTAGTCTCTTCCAGTCCCTGTTCCAAAGGAGCCTTGTATGTTTTCTGCAGTGCAATGCTTGTCTTCCGTACACATGCACTTCAAGAATTTGTGATAGAAACAAATTCTTTCCTATAAATCCCACAAACCAAACAACTGAATTGCTCCATCAATGTATCCTGAATTTGGGAATCCTCCGTAAATACAGCAGTAGTGCTTGTTTTGTACAACCAGAGTACATGGATCATTGGTTGTTCACTTTCTTTGGCCTCTTAGTGTGAAGGAGGTGGGAGTACACAGGCATTACTACTCTTTTCTGCTACTTTAAAAACAGCAGTAGCACTAGTTCTGTGCTAGTTATGCTTGCATAATATGTAAACACGAAGAAAATATCTTGTAAATGAAAGGATTTATGTGGGTTGGATTTTTTCCCTCTTGAATTCTAGTCAGCTTGAATTCTACCAGGCAGTCCTGGTATTACTTCAGCAAGTTATTTGGGTTTCAGGTTTTTGTTTGGTTGRTTATTTTCCCCTCTTTTGTAGTATTGCTTAACCTGAAAATCAGCTTGGAAACCTTTTGAGCTGGGAAGGAAAATGTTTGKTGTGAACTTGAAAGCTGATGACTGGGTACCATGGATAAAACAAATAAAGAGGTTGAAAGAGAGAACTGCGAATGTAAGAAAACACATGGATTGCAAAACTAGCCCTGATAAGTAAACYAAGAGCAGTGTGTCAGGTATGGGGGGTGCAGTTTCAGTTCTTAGGTGCTTAGCAACATATGAGGAAGCACCCAAGGCACTCGTGATGTTGGTTGCSCAGTGCTGCCCATGTCAAAGGGTACAAGGACTCTGTGAGCAGGGCAGGCTGAACTAACCATATTGTGATACCCTTGTGACCCTTTTGAGGATATTGTAGTGTTAGGGTGGCCAGGAAGCGCTGTCCTCACTTATCCTTGGTTTACATTTTCTTAAAATATCAAGGGGTGCTCAACATTCAATTTGTTCATTCTAACCAGTCTTGGATTAAATATCAGTAGCTTTTAAATGGGCCAGATGGCTTAAATGTAATGAAGTGTGGTGCTTTATGTAGCTTTTCATTTATGATTTATGCCAGAAGACATGTGCTGCCCTARGCTTTACCAAAACAAGGATGAAGACTTGAAATACCTGAGAAGATAAAAACTCCCAAGTGAGATTTAGACATGAGGTATCATTTAGGGGGAAAGAAGGAGAGTTTCCACAAATTATCATCACCTTTAAACAAGGTTTTCCAGTGTAGTTGCAGCAAGGAGGCCGAGGAAAAACAGTGAAATATGTAACTAAGGAGAAACATGCAAGGAACATTATAACTAGAAAAGGAAAGGCTTTGGACTGTATGGCATCTGATGAGTGAAATCTATAAAACATGATGATAAAATTTATTGGAAATTATATAGGGAAAATAAGAGTATGAGTGGAATCTTGATGGAAAAGGTTAATAATTTCATATATTCATGCTGTGAAAATATGTATCATCTCCAGCTGAAACTGATAAATTTGCCTACTTATCCTACTCCCAAAACAGAGATTTTTAAGAATTGCAGCTCTACATGAGGAAGTAGTTTGATCTTTTACACAGTTCGATTAAAAATCTACTGAGAATTAATTATGGGTAACTGTGTGAAGCAAAAGAATGGTTTTCAGTGAAGTTTCTTGAGACTTTGTAAATAATTGTGGAGACTGTGTGATGCTGTGCCATGTAACTTGCATTGTTTTGAGGGCTAAGGTTTAGGGCCAGTTTTCATCCATTATTTGAAGTGTGATACTAAATAAAATAGTATTTTTGAGATGGGCATTATTGCTTAATGCCTTAGTCACAACTGGCTGAGCACTAAATGGATCTGAATGTGTATATACGTTAATACAACAATTTGAATGTTACAGAACCTGTCAGAGGGACAAGATCACACACGAGCTMATTGGAAGCATTTCAGAAGCCAGTGTGACTGGAATTTCTTTAAATGCTTTTGCATGTTTTGTAGTGTGTTCTTTCAGTCTGTGAGTAATCTGCAGGAATATGCTGAAGATTTCCATGGRATAATTATGTGAGAGCTAATATGCATAAAATGGTAAGACTGTTCATGGGGTTTGCAAGGTTTAGGTTGGGTTTTTTGTACTTTGTAGCAGTCTCTGCTCCAAAAGCTCATGTGATTTAAAATTAAGGAGAGCTACTAAAGCCCACCACCTATCAGAGCTGTCATAGATGTAAGGAAAACACTGTTGAGACTGACATTTAATCCTGGGTGCTTTATGCTTCTTATCTCAAATATACCTGAATTAACCAAGTATATTCTTAAACCCCTTTCTAGTCTATAATTATTCTTTTGGTTGCAGTCTGTAACATCGGACTAAGACCATTTCCAGTTCTTGAAGTCATATTTTAAACACAGACCTTAACCTCTCTTTTCAGTATATTTGATACCTATGCATGTGAGCAAAAATTCAAAATGCACATCTGAGTGTGTCTCTCGAAGCAGCTGTGAATTTCCTGTGGTGAATTTTCATTCTCTGTCAGTGTGTAACCTAAAACTGTACTGGAAGTCCATGCCAGAACTGCATAAATGCAGTGCAGGCTGMAGTGGTAATATATGGTGAAAATGTTGGAGTGTGAATTTGTATTTGAGATGGAGGCTCCATCCTTTACGTGCACTAATGAAGTCCCTCTCCATGTACAAAAATGTTTTCACCTGTTTTCCTCCCCAGCCCAGTAACCTATGAGGTTAATCATATAGACAAGGATGTTRAAAAGAATTTATCCTATGTACTGCACACTTTGGATTTGTCAAATGTGCAAGATATGTGACAGTAAATTTGCCTTCTAAAAATAAAACCCCAAACAGTTACTCCTTTCTAAATATTATGAAAATCTCATTTGCCACACCTATTTTTAGTTCACATGTAATTTATATAAAACAYAGAAGAAAAAAGATGTTATCAAAATGTACCTTTCCTGAATCTTCTTCCTTTCTTTGGAGGCTGCAAGAACATCACTAATGCTTTTTTGCCTGCATTTTGTCAAGTCCTTTCCTTTTTGACACCTGCTTGTCACTGAATAAATATTTTCACTGGACTCTTCTAGGATTGATTATTTTACCCTGAACATTAGCATTACTAGGAGGACATTTTTATAGACTAAATCGGAGTTGTTTTTTTCCCTCCACCATACTTATCTTGTATTCTGTGTTTAGGAATAGATTTACATACATCTTAGGTCTTCAATCTAGGCAAAAAGCTGTATGAGCTGAAAAAGAAGGAAATTAAATGATGAAATCAGCCCATAGTCATAAATCTTTGGCTTTTAAAACTGATTGTGTGATGTAAGACTTCTTAAAATGTTTTGAAAGACAGGATAATTAAAGACATGGAAGTAAAGATGTAACATAATTTGTCATTTGTATTGAACACATYAATTAAGCAATTTATTAGAACTTGTTATGTTGCGGGCTGGTAGTGTTTGTCCTTCACATTAGATTTCACAACAGAGAAGTAGTTATTGAGGACATTGAATCATAGCAGTGAGAGGATGTTCCTTGGCAGWAAGTGCCATTAAAATGTTTGTTGGGAATCCAGTAAAATAGCGTGGAGAATTACAGTGGCAGCAGAGTGGTTGTTTACACAGTCATTTAGGGGAGACACACCAGTAGCTGGTAGACCCTGCAAACCAGTCTTTTTGTTAATATTACCAGTTCTTAGGATTTTAAATATTTTTCTTGCTCTTACTCAAGTAGGTATATTGGTGTGAACTCTTTTGTTTACTYTGATGCTCTTACCACATCTTTGGTACATTTTGATTCTGTTAGCTAGTTGCCACCTCGTTTGTATTTTACTCTTGTTACACTTACCCTTTAATAATTCCACATTTTTCCCTTTTTTCATCCCTGAAAGCCTAAAGAATTACATGAGATCATCACATTATTTGTCTTTTCTTACATCCTAAGACTGTCATTCTTATGCATGAAAAATGCARTGGGGGCACCTCAGAAGAAGTAATTTCAGTAAAGGGAAGACATACTAGGTTTGCCATATTCCCTGGCAATACTGAACACATTTGTGCTCAAAAAACCCCAGCCAACCCAAAAYGGAGCATCTGTGGAGAAGAGGAATTAAAGTGTTCTAGGGAATGAGAAGAGCCTGTTAGGAGAGGATGGTAGACAAATCAGCCTGTAAGTAATAAAGACAGAGTGTGCTGCGTGTTTTGTGCTCCCTACCTCAGTGGGGAAGAGAAATGAATAAAGGATTTAATCTAAAGCAAGGTTCTGGGAGTAAAAAGATGAATAAACATATCTGTGTGCTGTAGCTCAGCAAGCAGAGGAGGAAAATGTTAAGATTGAGCACTTGCCTGGTGCTGATGGTGCTGTTTGTGATTTGGCTGCAGTGCTGGGAGAAGGCTGAGCTGGGTTAGTCCATGGTGTCAGAAAAAGAGGAAAGTGGGGAAAAAAGGAAACAGGTCATTCATGAGAATTCACATGGGGAATACTTACTTTTTATGCCCCTGTAATTTAACAGTTTATCTTGTTTTTATTACCT